GGGAGTTCATGTAGCAGGTGGCGCCCTGGTTCTTCAGTCCCACAAAACCGGTGTGCTTCTTCGAGTCCCAGTGGACGCCGCGCGGCACCTCAGCTTTCACCGTCGCCTCGAGGATGAGCCTGTCGTCCTTCAGGTAGCCTTTTGCCGGGTCGGTCAGTTCCTGAAGAGAGAGAGAAAGAGAAATAATGAGTTAGAAATGAGGCAGTTTTGAGAAATTTCTGTTGCACAGTTTACCTCCCAGTTGTCAAAGCTGTGGAAACAGTAGTCGTTTGTTTTGCTGTTAAAGACGTGCAAAACGGCTAAAAGAATAGAGATATAGTAAAAAAATTAGATAAAACAAAAACGAAATGCACAAAAACATACGCTTTGAAAGGTGCTCATAACCTTCTTTTTGTGCGAGAATGCGCAAATCAACGGAGGCATAGCACGACCAGTTTCTGTCGTCGAGGTAGACAAAAACAAGGCAAATTAAACAAAACAAGTCAAAAAAGATATAGAATTTGGTGCAAATACTTACGTAGACTCAGACTCTCCATTGCACTGGAGAAAGTAGTTTAAACTCATTTTGCATTGGATGGGAAAAATGCGAATCATTTTAGGCTGTGCCAGTATTCTCCTGTAAAAACAAAAAAAATATATTTTTCAGTAATTGTTCAGCTAAATAGGGAAAACATGCCCTCCCCCTCATACCATGGCAAGTTTCTGACGTAGGTTGGCGGACTGAGAATCGGCTTCCTTAGCTGGGAGAAGCTGTTGATCGTGAAACGGAACGTGGCCTGTGATCGTGACTTATCTGCAATAACCAGGAAATCGTATTAATGTCAGCGTAACCAGAGAACAACAATAAAATGCAGTCTCTTACCATCTTCTATGTTCTCGTCGTTGTCGCCGCTGACCACATCGCTTTCGTCGCTCGTAATCTCGACGGCTTTGTTCTGTCGGAGACCGCAAGCTCCCATGGCTGAAAAAGAAGGGAGAATGAAAGAGCGAAGGACGATGATACTGGTGATGGCATTTAAAACGGCAAAGGCGTGGTGGTGGTGGTGGTGTTGCTTTTGCGATGATTACACAACAACAAGGGAAAAACAGCTCGCCACTACGCGCGCTCTCTCTCTCTCTCTCTCTCTCTCTCTCTCTCTCTCTCTCTCTC